CCTGACCACAAACCTTAAGGCTAACCTCACAGGTACCTACCTACCTGACCCTAAAACTAACCTAAACTCAATTCACACCTTGGTCCTAAACCCAACCCTCATACCCAAAATCAGCCTCTGAAGTTGTGGGGCCCAAACCCGGACCCCACGAGGCTGCATTTTCTTTAAAACTGGGCCCCACGATATAGGAAAAACAAGGACACACACACACAGGCCACGTTATTAGGTACACCTTGTTAGTACCAGGTTGGACCCCCTTTTGCCTTATGAACTGCCTTAATCCTTCATGGCATAGACTCAACAAGGTACTGGAAACATCCCACAGAGAGTCTGGTCCTTTGACAGTGAGTCTGGTCCGTTGACATGATAGCATCACACAGTTGCGGTAGATTTTTCAGCTGCACATCCATGATGCGAATCTCCCGTTCCACCACATCCCAAAGATGCTCTATTGGATTGAGATCTGGTGACTGTGGAGGCCATTTGAGTACACTGAACTCATTGTTGTGTTCAAGAAACCAGTCTATGATCGACGCTTTATGACATGGAGCGTTATCCTGCTGGAAGTAGCCATCAGAAGATGGTACACTGTGGTCATAAAGGGATGGACATGGTTAGCAACAATACTCAGGGAGGCTGTGGTGTTGACACGATGCTCAATTGGTACTAATGGGCCCAAAGTGTGCCAGAAAAATATCCCTCACAYCATTGCACCACCACCACCACCCTAAACCATTGATACAAGGCAGGATGGATCCATGCTTTCATGCTGTTGACGCCACATTCTGACCCTACCATCCGAATGTCGCAGCAGAAATCCAGACTCATCAGATCAGGCAATGTTTTTCCAATCTTCTATTGTCCAATTTTGGTGAACCTGTGTGAATTGTAGCCTCAGTTTCCTGTTCTTAGCTGACAGGAGTGGCACCCGGTGTAGTCTTCTGCTGCTGTAGGCCATCCTCCTCATAGTTTGATGTGTTGTGTATTCAGAGAAGCTCTTCTGCACACCTCAATTGTAACACGTGGTTATTTGAGTTACTGTTGCCGTTCCATCAGCTCAAACCAGTCTGGCCATTCTCCTCTGACTTCTGGCATTAACAAGGCATTTGTGCCCACAGAACTGCCGCTCATGTTCTCTTTTTCAGACCATTCTCTGTAAACCCTAGAGATGGTTGTGGGTGAAAATCTCCGTAGATCAGCAGTTTCTGAAATACTCAGACCTGCCCGTCAACGTGGCATGGTTGTTGGTGCCAGACAGGCTTCGTTTGTACACGTTCAAAGTGTACAAAATTACTTTGAATTCTCATTTGACTTATCGTGATCATGTACAAGTCTTAACCACTAAATTGAAACAGAAATTATACGTTTATTCAAAAATTAGATCCAATCTGACATCTTCTGTTTCAAATATCTATCTTCATGCCATTATACTCTCAACCATGTCGTACTGTTTACCTGTTTGGTCTTTTACAACAAATGAAATCTTAGAACCCATAGTTAGGCTCGACAACAGGGCCTACAAAATTCATAAAAAACTTCCTGGTTGGACTCATCACTGTACAGTTCTTTCATTGTCTGATGCCTAGACTTTTTCAGAATTATGTTTTGTATAGTGGTATTAATTTATATTTTCAGTTCTTCCAAGGTGCCAGTTATGGAACTTTCTGTGCATTGTTGCCCAAATCAAATTCTGGAAGTGGTCATTCA